AACGATATCGTTGGAATCACTTTCAAAACGATTTTTCTCCAGCTGATGAACGATAAAAAATTGACAGCCAATCAGAATCCATCCTGCTGTAACGAGCTCGAGAATTTAAAGCGGCAGACGCGCGTGCCCTTAGATTAAACAGACGATATCGTTTGCTGGTGTGGACGCTAATATCGTTATCTTTATAGTCATTGTTCTTGGTGTGAACGGGGCTTAATTGTCTTCACTGAATATTAAAGTTGATTATTATTTTGTTTATAATGAGGACTGTTGTTATATTTACAGTACCATTTAAATGTATGGAGTCATAACGATTTTTAAGAAATTACTTTAATTCAAGGATCCATTACATTGATCAAAAAGACAGTGAAGTACAGAGTTTTTAAGCATGTTGGTGATTTTCATTGCGACAGCTTTGGTGATGTTGAGATCTGATATACCCTGTCGCCCCAAATTTAAAGAGACAATTTCTGTTTAGAATATATCCACAGGGGCATTTTTACAGAAGAGATTTTAGTTTGTGATAGAAATGATACGCCGTCTAGTCTAGAAGCGGTAGTATTGGTGTAAACTAGCAGCTAACACTAACGCTACTACACCGGGCGCAAACGGTGCATTGAGAAACACTACTTTAAAGGAAGATACAGCAGTAAATAATCAGGAAATAAATTTGAAATATTTATTTGTTTATTTATTTAAAGAAAATAAGTACTTTTATTCAGCAAGGATGCATTAAATTGATCAAAAGTGACAAAGACATTTGTTATGTTACAAAAGATTTCTATTTCAAATAAATGCTGTTCTTTTAACGTTTCTATTCATCAAATACTCCTGAAACAAATTGTATGTGACACTGAAGACTGGCGTAATGGCTGCCAAAAAACAGCCCATATATTCAAATGGAAAACAGTTATTTTAAATTCTAATAATATTTCACAATATTACTGTTTTTACTATATTTTTGATCAAATTAATGCAGCCTTGGGTGGCCATTTTACCATTTCACAAGACACTTCTTTCAAGAACATTTTTTAAAAAATCTTACCGACACATAACTTTTGAACATTGTAGATATTGATGTATTTAGGAGGTTTTTTTTGTCAATCAGAGAAAACACCATATCAACCAAGTAGGTGATATGGTGATATGGATACATTAACCAAGTAGGAACACTAGGAATAATATTGAATGCACCAACGTAACAAAAACATAGTAAATAACAATATTTACCTGCAAATATATTACCAAGACATTTTAATATATTAAAAATATCATATAGAGACTTCCTTGACCATTGTGGTGGTGATGCAAACGAATCATTAAATCAGAGCTTTGAATCAATTCATTGAAACAGTTTGATTCATAAAAATGAATCTAACTTAGCAACTCTACAGCCGTTTTAGCTAATGATGCTCAAATCAGAGATGCCACTAAAATGTAATCTTCAGTATTTGTCTATTCTTGTCTTTTCCTGTAAAAAAAACATCTCAACATTATTAAAATACATTTACTCAGTAAACGAAATGACCGTATTTTTCATAGAGTAATCTAAGGAAAAAAGCATCTTTTACCTAATGAATTGTTTATTTTTTATTTAATTGACAAATAAAAAAAGTGAAAAAGGCGTTAACCTCTCTAAATTTCATTAGATTCATCACGTTACTTTGATTCTGAAGTAAATATATAATGTTTAGATATTTTTTATGTAAAACGAGACTAAAATACTAAATGGTTTTAGCAGTCTTAACGCTCATATAATCTCGAGTCTTCATTTATGTGGCACAAGGGTCAATCCCACCTAATGCTCTTTTTTACCATCCCATTCCCGTTTCTTCTCAACATAATATTTATTTTCTCTCTACTGCATGTCTATCCAATAAAGTAAATAAATAAGGCTCCAATAAAGCCAAAATAAATACAACTCGCATTGCTTCATTTCGTTGGGCTGTTTTTATTGTCTTGTTTTTTTTGCATATCCCTGCAACCTCTCAACCAATCACAAAGCGGCAGAATCCACATTGACATTGACTCAGTTGTCAGCTCTGAGAAGTGCTGTCAGCATGGAGGCAGATGGGAACTCTGTTGTCGTTTGAGGGTGTTCGTTGCCCCAGTAACACCTGTCCGTCTGAACGAGCCTTTAATAGTGCTTAACAAGCCCAAAGGCCTGGTTAACCTTTACTGTAAAGGTACTTTTGAGCTCTGCTGGATGTTAGCCACAAATCAGTTTACGTGTGGAAAAAGCCGTAATGCATCAAACATGATGTTAAACTTCATTAGCATGCTGAGTTCAGCTAATGTGTGTGACGTGTACTGCACACGTTTCTGAGCCCCATCTCGGGCCTGTTGGAAAAACGTTTATACCCCCTCTCTCTTCGCTCAGCTTGAAGTGTTTTTTGGTCTGTTTGGTCATCTGTTTTAGGTGTTTATGGGAGTTTAGCTAGATGCGCGCAGACATTTCTGGATGCTACATTCCAACATGCCAACAAGATTAATTAACATGGCTGGGCATTACTATGAAACATTAACATTAATCTACAGATTTCCTCTAACTTTCATAAGGATATTTAAAGCAAGGTCAAAAATGGAGGAATGACGCAGGATTTACTATACATCCTCTCTCCCCACGGACGAGTCTGACCGTAAACATCGGGTTATATGAATCCTTCACACAAGTTTGGGTTCTTTTTAGTTTATTGGCAAGGTTATAAGATGACAGATCAACTGTAATAAATTGACGGATCTCCAAGGGCTGGTTGCAGCATAAGTGGCTGCTAAGTTACAGCTTGAGTAATGCAGATTTGTGTGTTGCATTAATATACCAGGCTTATTATTGTTAACCAAAACTAAAACCATAAAAAAAAACTTTTTGTGCCTCAAACATTAACTGAAATAAAACACTTAAACTTATTTTATTTCAGGTAGTTGCCAAGGAAACATTTTTTTATTTAGGTTAACTTGATGTACTAAAATAATTCAAACTGATTTTATAGCTGCCCAGTTAAGACCTATAGTTTGCTGGTGCAATCCAGACTATAAAGCTAGATGGAAACAGATTGATTTCTCCTTTTTTTCTGAAATACCGATTCAGGCAGTAATTGCAGATGATAATTTATTAAAAAAATATATAAGTAAAGAATATCCATGGATAATGACTATCCTAGAAATATGGGCCACAGTAATAAAAAAATATGATTTGAAAGACGCTCTAAAGATAATGAGGTGGTGTGCATACGATACAGATTTCACTCCAAATACTCTAGATGAATCTTTTAAGAATTGGAGTAAGAATGGCATTACATCATATTATTCTGTTACAAACAATAATACTTTCTTAACTTTTCAAGAATTTAAAAATCAGTTTAAGTTGGATAATCAAGACTTGTTTAGATACTTTCAAATAAGACACTACTTTAATTCAAAAGTGAACAAGAGCGGGGATTGGGCACAGAATGATTTAGTGAAGATATTCCTGTCGGCATATAGGGCTAATACTATTAGTAAGGTAATCTCAACATTTTATTATTGTTTTCAAAATTACAGATCAGATTCTACCTCATATGTCCGAATTAAATGGGAAAAGGAAGGAAACATTATTATAACAGAAGAGGCTTGGTTAAAAACGTGTAAATCCCAATAGGAAACCACAGGCTCACATTAGTGGAGACAGAAATGTAATTTGGTTTTTTATATCCCCTGCACAAAAGTGCCATAGTGAAATAGGATTTAGGTGTTGGAGGCACTGTAATTCAGAAGTAGCAAATCACCACCATATATTCTGGGCATGTCCAGTTATACACTTGTTTTGTGAGGGAATGAGAGAGAAAAAAAAACATTGTCGCTGCATATTATATGCGAACCAAGTGAGACTAATTAAGGAAGTGAGAAAGAGAAACAGGGTGAGGGAGTTTACCTTCAGTCTCCATAGAGGATAGGTGGAGTCAGGGTCTCTGTTGAAAAACCTGGTTGTTTTCGTCCCTGCGCTTAACAGATACTCTGCTGGCAAGCCCTGCGTTTGAGAGATGTACCGGATCTGGTGGAGGACATAAACACAGGCGATAGGAGATTTACAACTAATGTCACACATTAGGTGCTGGATATTCACTACTTAGACATGTACACTTGGAAAAGGGGATTTTCTTGCTTGTTTTATATATAAAGGTTTAATATACATAGACATACAGTCACAATGCAAAGTCAATTTAACGAAACTAAGCTGTTAAAACAAGTCATAAAGACAGCTGATTTGATTGTAACTCATTTCTTTATTCTCTCAGAATTTTGTATTGTATCTTTTGACTTCCTTGACATAAAAAAAAATGACAAAAAAAAATGACAAGAACACACAACAAAATTACTAAAACTTAAAAACAAAAAAATGAAAACAAAAAATATAGCAATAAAAACGCATATATACTTAAAGATGTTTATTGCACTTGACTGTTATATAAAGCTAAATAAGTCTGAAACTAGTTTGTCAAATCAGTTACTATGGCCTTAGTGTGAACTTTATTCTTAATTTAAGTATGAACGTATGGATGACTTGCATTCTTACAAACGTCTGTATATAACGTATGACTTTTCTGTAACCTTTCTTACATTTTAACACCACATCTCCACTGTTTCTTTAGGAATCATATCGGCAGGTGATGAAGATGAGGCCGAAGGACCTGTGGAAGAGGTTGATGGTCAAGTTCAGAGGAGAGGAAGGTCTCGACTATGGTGGAGTCGCAAGGTATGAGTTTGACACTGAGAGACAAAACTTAAAGCTTGATGCTGAGCATGAAATCAAAATTGACCCCATTTTCTTTCTTAACACATTTGTTGTGAATGATACATCTGTGAACATTATTAAAAAGAAAAACATGTTTTTGTAATTTGGATGAAAAATGTACGTTTCAATAATATGTAACTATCCACTGATGCCACCATCTGTTATCATTTTCCACAATCCATTCAATTCCCAATGGATAAAATCAACCCCTGGAATACGTTCTTGAATGATATCCTATTTCGCTAATAAATATATCACAACATGGAAGTAAAATGGGTTATGAATGCAGTTTCCTGCTGTCTTTTAATAAGTGTGTGTCCATCTAGTGGTAGAATTAGAGTATAACAGTGTCAAAGTGGGCCATGATAGACTGAATGTCTGTCAATAATTTGTGCCATTACGTGTGTTTGTGTCATAGGGAGTGGTTGTACTTGCTGTCGCATGAGATGTTAAATCCATACTATGGACTGTTCCAGTATTCACGAGATGACATCTACACGCTACAGATCAACCCGGACTCTGCCGTCAATCCGGTAAGTGGCTTCCTCATGAGCTTCCCATTTACTCATCCAAAAAACACTAATCTTTTTTGTTTTATTTGTTTGTTTTTTTAGGAGCATTTGTCCTATTTCCACTTTGTGGGGAGGATTATGGGAATGGCAGTTTTCCACGGGCACTACATAGACGGAGGCTTCACTCTGCCCTTCTACAAGCAGTTGCTGGGGAAACCCATCACTCTGGACGACATGGAGTCAGTGGATCCAGATCTCCACAACAGCCTCGTCTGGATCCTGTCAGTGTGCTTTATACGTCCATCTATAGCGCTGTATAATACACACTCAAAAATGAACTGTAATACAATTATTACTCTGCCTCTGTATTTTCAGCAAAAGAGGGTCTGGAATGATGCATGATAATATGTCTATGCTGTATAATAAATAAGTAAATATATATTAGTGCTGTCAATCGATAAAAAATCGTTTTTCTGAAATTAATTGCGATTATTCCCACCTAACATTAAAGTTTTTAAATATACTTTTATATTGCAATAATTTCACATTCAATCTTCAAATTAAAGTAGAAACAACATAAAGACAGTATATTTTTTAATATTTGTTTAGTGGCATCTTTTTTTTATGTCTGAAGCCCTAAATACTACTGATGTCTCTAGGAAATAGTTTTTTTTCCCCCTAATATTTAACCATCGACTATAGCCATTCAACATTACAGTATAATTGAGAGCTATCAATTTTAACATTTATTAGACTTTAGAAAAAAATAACTTCAAGTGAACTTAAAACAATCTTCACATAAACCCATTATAATAAATGTCATATTTAGCTACCTGTGCCCTTACGCAATTAGGAAATACACAGAAATTGAATAAAGTTATCAAACACTAAATTCTCAATTAACTATAGATGAATCCTTA